TATGGCTCTGGGCTCCCTCAGAAACTTGAAGTGAGATTTGTTTCTAGAAGAAGTGTTTGAAAGAGGTTTGTCAAAGCCAGATCATACAGGACCAAGTCGAAATGTTGGTCTTTATCCTAATAAAAATGGAAAGTTCTGGAGTGGTTTTAAGAATGAGGGTAACATGCCCGGCTGGTGTGGTTGAGCATCGTCTCATGCACCGGGAGGTCACTGGTTCGATTCCTGGTCAGGGCACACACCCGGGTTGTGGGCTCCATCCCCCAGTAGGGGGCGTGCAGGAGGCAACTGATAGATGTTTCTCCCTCATCAATGTTTCTCTCTCTCTCCATCTCTCCCTTCCTCTCTCTGAAATCAATGAAAAATATTAAAAAGAATGAGGGTGCTCTGGCTGGTTTGGCTCAGTGGTTAGAGCATCGGCCCGTGGACTGAAGGGTCCCAGCTTCGACTCCGGCCAAGGGCATATACCTTGGTTGTGGGCTCGATCCCTGCCGCCATTCGGGGCGAGTGCAGGGGGGCAACCAGTCGATGTGTCTCTCTCACATCGAGATTTCTTTCTCCCTTCCACTCTGTCTGAAAAGCAATGGGAAAAATATCCTCAGGTGAGGATTTAAAAAAGAAAAGAAAGAGAGAGAGAGAAGAGAAAGAAAGAAAGAAAGGAAGGAAGGAAGGAAGGAAGGAAGGAAGGAAGGAAGGAAGGAAGGAAGGAAGGAAGGAAGGAAGGAGAAAAAATGAGAGTAACATAATCAGATCGTGCATAGAATAGACGGGAGGGTTCCAGAAAGACAGCCCAGAGCCAGTTGCGAGGCTACTGCAGTCAAGATAAATGAGGATGCCAACTGTGAAGATCATGAGAAACAGACAGATTAAGAAGAAATATAATATTTGATGGATTAGACTTTGCAGTAGATTCAATATGGGAGGAAAAGGAGAGGAAGGTATGAAATATGATAGATGGTGGTGGCATTGACAGATCTGAGCAACCCTGAGAGGGTACCAGTTTGGGAGAGAAGGTCAAACATTAAGTCTTGACACCTTATGCCAAAAGAATTGACAGCACGGAAGTGGAGACATCCAGGAGACAAATGGTTATGCAGCTGTGGCGCTCAGAAGAAATGCTTAAATTAGAGATATGCATATCAGAGTGATTGATATATAGATTGTAATTGAGGGTCGAGAGTAGATTGCAAGAGAGAGAGAGAGAATACACTGTCAATTAAGGAAACGCAAATCAAAACTACAATGAGATCCCACCTCACACCCGATAGAGTGGCTGTGATCAGCAAGATAATAGCAAGTGTTGGAGAGGTTGTGGAGAAAAGGGAGCCCTCATTCACTGCTGGTGGGAATGCAGACTGGCACAACCACTATGGAAAGCAGTCTGGCAATTCCTCAAAAAATTAAGAGTAGAGATAGCTACCATATGACCCAGCAATCCCTCTCCTGGGTATATACCCAAAAAACTCGAAAATATTTATTCGCAAAGATATATGCACCCCTATGTTCACTGCAGCATTATTCACGGTGGCCAAGACATAGAGACAACCAAAGTGTCCTGCAGTAGAGGCCTGGATAAAGAAGGTGTGGGACATGGGCACAATGGATACTACTCAGCATAAGAAAGGGTAAAACACTGTCATTTGCCACAACATGGATGGACCTTGAGGATATTTTGCTAAGTGAAATAAGTCAGGCAGAAAAAGCTGAGAACCATATGATTTCACTCATATGTGGGATATAAAACTGAAACTTGTGGACACAAACAGCAGTGTGGTGGTTGCCAAAGGGAAGGGGGTGGGGGTTAGTGAACGGAGTCTTAATATATGGCGACGGGAGAAGATATGACCTTATGTGGTGGGCACACAGAGCAATATTCAGATCTTATAACATAGAACCCACACCTGAAACCTATATGTTCATATTAACCATTGTCACCCCAATCAGTTTAATAAAGTGTTATTTAAAAAGCAAAGAGAGAGAATGATACAGTAGATAGAAGATGATTGATCCTGAACCGGACCTTGATGAACCCAGTGTGTGTGAGAGGGTGGGGGAGGGTGAACCTGCAAAGAGAAACTTATCAGTGGTTAAAGAAATAGAAGAAAAAAATAGAGTAGAGTGACATTATAGAGGCAAATGAAAGGGATTTCAAAAAAAGGAGAGGATGGTCAACAGTGTTAAGTGTTGCTAGATAGTAAGAAAGTAAAACACTCCATTGGATTGATTGACATGCTTCCTTTATGAGGCAGTGTTTTTGTTGAGAAAATACTAAGTGGATTAAAGAGCGCATAGGAGGTGGGGAACTGACAGTAAACTGGACAAGTCTTATTTCTTGTTTGTTTGGTTCTATTTTGTTTGTTCATTTACTTTGTTTTTTAGATTCTACATATAAGCAAAAACATATGGTATTTGTCTTTGATCTATTTCACTTAGATTTCATTTATTTTACTCTAGGCCCATCCATGTTGTTGCAAAGGGCAGGATTTCATTCTTTATGTGGCTGAGCAATATTCCGTTGTATATATGCACCACTTCTTTATCCATTTGTCTGTCTATGGACACACCTAGGTTGCTTTCATATCCTGGCTACTACAAATAATGCTGCAGTGAACACAGGGGTGAATGTGTCTTTTCGAATTAAGGTTTTGGATTTCTTCAAATAAATACCCAGAAGTGGATTTGCTGGGTCATAAGGTAGTTCTGTTTTTAATTCTTTGAGGAAAAAATTAAAAGGAATGAAGATTGGCTGCCCCAGTCTGCATTCGCCCCAACAGTGCATGAGGATCCCCTTTCTCCACACCCTCACCAGCACTTGTTTGTTGATTTGTTGATAGTGGCCATTCTGGCCTGTGTGAGGTGATATCTCATTGTGGTTTTAATTTGAATTTCCTTTATGATTAGTGATGTTGAACATCTTTTCGTATGTTTATTAGCCATCCATATGTCCTCTTTGGAGGAAAGTCTATTCAGATTGTTTGTTTTTTTGGTGTTGAGTTGTATAAGTTCCTTATATATTTGGATATTAACCCCTTAGCAGATGTATCATTGGTGAATATCTTCTCCCATTAAGTAGGTTGTCTTTTCTTTTTGTTGATGGTTTCTTTCAGTGTGCAAAACTCTTTAGTTTGATGTAGCTCCATTTGTAATTTTTTCTTTTATTTCCCTTGCAGAGAGAGTCATAAGGCCTTACTGCAGGCTTCCATAAGAACGCAAAAAGAGAATACTTTATGGGAGGTGTTACGTGTTCTGTGAAGCTCTCTATCAGTTTAATTTTAAATTAGTAGCCTGCAAGTAACATGAAAAATTTTAACAGGTTTATGTGATTTAAAGCCCTGAAATGTGAGTTCTAGAAACCAGTTCATAAGTTTGTGATAGTGAAGAACTGGCTTAACAATAATTTATGTGACAAATTCCTAGATGTTTAACTCAGTTTAACTTCAGTGTGCGTTGAAAGTCTAATATGGAAGTCACAGCATAGATTTAACTCATGGGCTGCATCAGTGAAATATTGTAAACCAAGAAGATAATTATCTGTTCTTACCTAATTATACTAAATACTACTGATAAGATCCTGTGAGCAGCCAAATTTTAAGGAAAGGAAGATCCTAAATAACTATGAATTATCCATTGAGGTAATGGATAGGAGTACAGTAGGCCCCATGTCAGATATCTTCTAGTTATTTAAAGAACTGATTTCAACTATTTGAGGGCTGTATTAGAAAAAGAAAATATAGCGTGGTAATTAAATTATTGGTGTCTAAGTCTTGTATTTTTGTTCCATTTCACAAACTTCCTGTGAAAACTGAGTAAGTCATTTATTTTTCTGGAGACTTTCATTTGTTTGCTTGTTTGTTTTGTTTCATTTAATAAACGATTGAATTAGATGATCTATAAATTCCCTGTTCATAGATTCTTTACAGATGCTGATAAAATCTAGGGGTTCTTTCTTGAGAAAAATGCACACACATTCAGAATTGTGCCCAGAATTTCACGTGATTCGTAGACATTCTCCCCCCTTGTAACCCTTCCATGACTCCCCTAAAACCTCTGCTTTAACTAACCTGAGTCATCTGATGATAGTGGATATTTATTCCCGTTAGCGCCATAGATCTCTGCAATAAAAGAATGTCTGAGAATATCAGTGTTGATGGTCAAATATCTATTGCAACGTAACAACCCATCCTCAAATTTAGTGTCTTAGCATAGCAATTACTTACATTTCTCACGGTTCTGCAATGTGGGCAGGGCTCTTGCGGCAGTTCTGTAGCTCTAAGTGGTGTCAGCTGGAGCGCTCATTTGGTTATATTCAGGTGGTATTCGAGATGGTTCAGAGGTCCAGGAAAGCTTTATTCACACGCCTGGTCCCATGTGCTCTTCCACGTGGCCTCTGCACCTGGCCAGACTGAGCTTTCTTAAAGGATTGTTGGAGTTCTTATTTAACAGTCGCATTCTCCTAGTGTCTGCTCTCTGAGGACAAGATCCAAGGTGCAAGCACCTATGAAGCTCCTGCTTGCATTGCACTTACTAATATCCCATTTGCCACAGCATATCACATGGCCAAATCCAGAGTCAATACGGCTGGAGATTATGCAAGAGCATGAATAGCAGAGGTATGGTTGAATGGGGGCCACGAAAAGGAATATTTTGTTTGCTATAAATGCTTTCCAAAAAGAAGGAGGGTTATCTTGGGAAGTAGTAGTTTTTCTACCAATGCAAATATTTAAGCAGAGGCTGAGTAACGGCTTGTAGGGGATTCAGGAGAGGTGATAGCTACATTGAGATGAATGAAATGACCTCCTTGATCATAAGACTCCAGGCTAGATCCACGCTGACTCCACATTTTGAGCCTGCCTAGGGAAATATTAGTGCTATTACCAGTAACAGAGGCATCCAGCAGGAGTCTCAGATTAGTTGGAGAATGATAAATGTGGACAGATTACCTTTTTTTCATATAAAAGAAAGTGATAATCAAGAAATAATGATCCATGTTTTTTCTGTCTTAGGTTGGATGTCGATATAACGGAACTTCACAGTTGGATTACTCGCTCAGAAGCTGTGTTGCAGAGTCCCGAATTTGCCATCTATCGGAAGGAAGGCAACTTCTCAGACCTTAAAGAAAAAGTCACTGTAGGTTCTGCATTAATTCTCATGTATTTTCCTAAGTGTTGTTGCTTGTAAACTCTATGCTTTGTACTCTCTGATTCTATTAGAGTCGAAAAGATTAAAGCAATATACCAGGCTTTTAAATATATCTTTAAAATGTATTTTAGATATCAAGTAAAATCAAAGTTTAGCCAAGTAGAATCCTCCCTGGTTCTGCTGTGAATGACCAGGAATGCTTTTCATAAACCTTCCTTAACTTGCATATTGTTTAGCTGTAAATTAACAATTTTATAACATGAATTTATATTGACTTCCCTTCATATATTGTTCTGTCACCTCAAGGCTGGGACTTAGCAAGCTTGCAGAATAGAATACAATAGACATTTAAAAATACTATCCCTAGGACTTTACTGTGTATGATTTCACTGTCATCTAAAAGTTATTCTTTATAGTCATTAATAATTTTCATAAATTATAACAGACTTGCATTCTCTAGATATTTATTTATTACATTGTTATAACTAAAAGAAGTCCAAGATTTTTCAGTATTTATTGATGACATGAGATGGTTTACTGTTTTGATTCCCTGCTGAGACATTATAGGTTTGTCCTTCACTATAGGGATTTTTTAAATTGATTTAATAGGAGCTGCTTTGTCTTCAGGGACATTATCAGGGCTATGATTTTTCAACTTCGACAATTATAAAGCATCCATGTTTGGTTTGTAATTGGCAATACAGGCTGACCTTATTTTATTATGCTTCACTTTATTGTGCTTCCCAGATGTTATGTTTTTACAAACTGAAGAAGGTTTATAAGAGCCTACTCCATCAGCAAAAAGGTTATGACTCGCTTTAATTGCAGCTTGCTTTATTGCAGTGGTAGGGAACCAACCTGCAGTATCTCTGAGGTGTGCCTGTAGTTTGAAGGCTTTCTGACAGGCAGAGTAAATACTCTGCAGTGGGCAGGCTACAGAAACAAATATTCTGAATGTCAAAGAATTTGAGCTATAGGAAGGTCACGTGTGTGGGGATTAACTCTGCCTTATCTTTCAAGCATTCTATGTCATGAATTACAAAATCCATTTTTACAAACACCACACTACCTCAGAAGCAAGTTAATACTTGCTGCAGGGTTAGAACTTTTGGAGAACAAAAAAAAAGGATCTTCTGGGAAAAATAATCTATTTATAGGTTGCTTGAGGAGGAGAGATAATTTCATCAACATTTCTCAGAGTTCACTATTTATAAATTAGAAATTTATTTTGAATTTATTATTAGCTTTCTACAATAGTCTGTTATCAGCATAATAATAGACTATTATAAGTAGTTTCAAGAAATGGGAACAATGATTGTATTGTTAATATCTTAGTTTGAAAATTAAACTGAAGACTGATAGATAATATATAGTAGAAAATTAGCAAAATGTCTTACTTCAAATAATACTTATGTGAAAGTACATTTTTTGTTATGATTTTTTGAGGATAATTCTACAGGTAGAACATTACTTAGAGAAGATGCCCTGTAAATCCTTTCCAGGTTCATGTGACATATTTGACAACTGAAAGCATGGATCTCCTGGGGCAGACATTTTATTAGCTAATTTAAAAAATTTTTCATCTATCTGAATAATCTGTTTATCTGTTCATCATCTATTTCTGTATCTTAAACCAGCTTCCATCAAGCAGCAGCATCGAGGCCCAGCATTTAAGCAATACAAATTTTAAGATTTCCTGTTATCGTATGGTTACCTAGAAGCAATTTGCATTTAATCAATAGTGTCAGCAGTGACAGACTGGAAGTGCTAAAAAAAATATACAGTATTGTATGAGAGGTTTTCTAATGCCGCGTGAGTCACCTTTATCAGCTTCTACTCTCATTTTCTGAAATAACAACATCATTCTTAATTGCCTACTAAAATAGAACATAAAATGATTTACGTGGACATTTCCTTCAGGGTAAATATAATGTATATGTATTAAAAATGCTTGAGAGAAATACGTAATGATGGCACACAGTTTCGGTGTACATTCATTTTCTTCTTGTCAGTTTATGTAGGTTATTTTGAGCACATGGGAGGCCTGCCTTATGAACTTGAGAGCTATTAATTCACTTTCAGGCATCCATTAAAAATGGCCGCATATTACCTTCTTTTTTGTTTACTTTATTCCTTCCCTTTCAAGTGCTTTCAGCCAATTAGAATGTCCTAGGACATTATCAGTTCAATTTTATATACTTTTAAACCTAATGTAATGTTTTCTTCTCTATTAACCATGTGTTTTATACAATTAACATAATGCACTGACTTAAAAGTTGAGTTCTAGGGGACGTCCCTACTCAAAGTGTGGTCTCTGGACAGCCAATATTGGCATCATCTATGAGTTTGCTAGAAATGTAGGGTTTCAGACCTAATGAATTACAGTTTGCATTTAAATAAGACCCAGGTGATTCCTATACACATAAAGGTTTGAGAATCAGAGGGGACACAGTCAGGGACTCTGCTTTGCTGCTCCTTCCCTCGTTCTGGTAATATCACCACAGTTCGGTTCGGAGTTTCTAGCTGAGTAACAGGTCTTGAATTGAGCCCATGGTAATAATGTAAATTAGTAATTAAAACAACAAAACAGAACGACCTGTCTGACCACAAGGAAGGGTGTCTCTTCATCTGTCCCTTCTCGGGCCTTCATCTCTGTCTCTCCGCCTGGCTTCCTCTCCTTTGCGCCTTCCGTGCCTCACACTCTGCACTCTGAAGCCCTCCTTCCAAGGCAGACTCTGTCCTATATACCCACCCTCCTCGTACATGGAAACCGCTTTTACCCTCAAGAGCACCACTAAGGCCAATGACTGTCCCACGCCCACTCTTTTGGAATTGCCCGTTTCCTTACTTCCCCGGGCCAGTTCCAAAGGTACCGCTCACCATGCAAAAGAATCTCCTCCCTTGTGGCCCATGCCAAGTGGCCATCTCCCGTTCACTACTCTGTTCTGTTCCTTTCTCATTGAAGACTTTGGCACCAGGCTCACAGTCTTGCCCACCCGAGCTGTACCTCCATCCTTAATAATCTCAGCCCACGTGGGCTGTCCTGCTATCTCCAACAGCTTGCGTTTCCCGAATCTCCTCATTTCAGCCACCCTAACCGTGCTGTAGATGTTTCACTGGCAGACATTACTCCATTTCTGAAATAGCACGCTTTAATAGATCCATCAGTACTTTCTCATAAGTTTTCCATGCATCCCTAGTAAATTTTCTCCTCAATTTCTCTCAACAGTTATTTGAAGTCTTTAGGGTTCTCCTAAACTTTCCCCCACCATTTACAGTAGATGGTTTTCCCTCTTCATTTAATTAAAATAACATCTCACAGATCATGCGTGCTTGTGCTCATATAGTCTCCTTCTTCTCCCTCTGCCTTGGCTGTGCTTGGCTAGACACGGCTCATCTGTGCGTGTGTGCATTCTTAATACCCTCGCTGTCTGTAACCTAAGGAACCTGTTTCCATGTAGCCACACATCCGTTTCCTCAATCTCTCAATTTTTGGGTCTTCATCATCAGCCTTTACACAGGCTGTTTTTCGATCTTTGAGAAAGCCCTCCTCTCTATAGACACACACATGCAGGACTAGACCCTATTAACCTCTCTATCTTTTATGAAATTCTTTCCCTCCTTGGTTTATGGGATACCACTATCTACGTGTTACCTTTTTTACATTTTTGGCCATTTGTCCCATCTCATTTTTTCTTCAATATTGATATTCTATTCTCTACAGTTCTTCCCTTGTTTTTCTTCTCTAGATTATCCTCATTCATTCCCATTCAAACAAAATCTATTTTCTAATGACCCTCAAATATGTGCCTTTAGCTCATGTGGGTCCCTTAAGTCCCAGGACAATATATCTAATTGCCTAATAGATACCTTTAATTCAATGTTTGCCTGAAAACTTAAGCTTCATTACCTTCCCCAACCCTCATTTAATCTTTCTCTTTCCTTTCCTTCTTCCAACAGCCTAATCCAGAAACCTAAAAGCTACCTGGGTCATCTAGATTTTTTGCTCTCATTCATAAGTCCAACCTTTAACGAGTTCAATTAATCCCTCTTCCTTGCCACCTCTTGAAACTGTCTCATTCTCTCCATTCCCATTGCCACAACCTTGATTAAAGTTTATATGGTGGCTCACCTCTGTTTAAGGTGATAATCCCTAGCTGGTCTTCCCTGCCACTAATGTTTTATTCCTTTAGAAGTTTTCAGATCACTTCTGCAAAAATGAACTTAGTGAAACATAAGTATTATCCTGTTATGCCTCTGTTATATGCATTTGAGAAAGAAAAAAGAAGCCACTGATACCCAAGAGCTTGGCCACAGCTAGGCCTTGGAGTTGCTAGATGCTGTACTAGAGTTTGCAGCTAGTCTGTGATGTTCTGCTGTTGTATATGGAAACAGCTCAGAGTGCCAACATCAGTCAAGGCCACTTCATGATTGTGATAGATCAAGACAAAAACACGACCACTTTGTAGCTGTGTCTCAATCCAGACAAAAAGAAGAGCGTTGTCCAAACCACCCCAAGTGACCAAATGTCCCCATCCTCACTAACATGGCAGATGCTGCTGCTTTACTCATCGTAGCTTGATTCTCTCTACATTAGTCATGCCGTTTAGATACACTTTTTTCAAGATACCCAACCATAGAATCACCCCCACTTCCCTAAAACATCCCATTAAAGGCAAAGTTCTGCTTCCTTGACCACCTTGATGACCTTACCCAAGCCCAGTACCTATAAACTCTTCACATCGTCTTAGAGACATACCCCTCCCAGGTTCCTGTTTCATGGTATCTCTCTTGTTGCAACAGGTAAATCAGCCTCACTTTATTAATCTGCAGGCCTTTCCTGGTGGCCTTTGTCTGGAAGGCATTGACAAAGTCACTGTCTCATATTGCCTTCATAAAGACTACCTTGATCGAAGTCCTGTTTACTTATCCAAACTGATTTCCGGCTATTGTTAACATCGACTAGATTCTTGGTTTCTAGAAATTAG